TAACTATATAAACCCATCTGCATCTAACAGTCTTTTTGCCCTCTGGTAGATCCACAATTTCCCATGTCTAATTCTTGATTAAGACTTTCATCTGTTCCTACATATCTATCTTCCACTCAGGTTTGGAGAGAGCCTCACTGACACCCTTGGGTATAGACACAGAGTCAAGAGAAGAAAGGAAAGCACAATAGGAAAAAGTCCAATGTATGATAGGTACTGTGAAATACAATGAGTACTACACTTTCTCTTCCCTTTTCTAAGAGCAATAGGAAGGTCCAGGTCATCTGTAATGGGATTAGTAGAATCAATAGGAACTGAAACATTTCCTCCTTTTCTAAGAGCAATAGGAAAGTCCATGTCAACTAAATTTGGAGTCTCCAAGGAACCGATAAGAAGTATGTGAGTTCTTCTACAGTGGAATCAACCTCCCTATGAAGTCGTTGTCGTGAGTAACACTGAGAAGCATGACACAAGGAAGGTGGTAAGGTAGGTGACATATGAGGATCAGACATAATAGTGGACACAGGAACTAGAACTAGATGAGGAATAGACTGTTCACTCATTTCCCCAAAACACTCCCCTTGAGAAGGATCCTTCGAGAAAAAGGATGTGGATTCAAAAAAGGTGACATCCATAGTAACATACCGACTCCCAAAGACTAGATCATAGTAGCAATACTTTTTCTGATTTTCTGCATACCCAAGAAAAACACACTTCTTTGCCTTTGGATCGAGCTTCAAGCGATGAGGACCAAGAACATGTGCAAAGCAAACACACCCAAACACCCTGAGAGGAATGTGGAACATCTCCCCCTCTGGAAAAAGGAGGCTGAATGGGGTCCTGAATCCAAGTATACGAGAGGGCACCCTATTAATCAAGAAGACTGTTGTGAGAACTATATCACCCCAAAACCGAACTAGAACAGTATATGTGACCATCATACTTTTTGCAATCTCAACAATGTGTCTGTTCTTCCTCTTTGCAACATCATTCTGCTGTGGACTGTAAGAACAACTACTCTGATAGATAACTTCATACTCTAATAGATACGAAGCAATGTTCTTTTCAAAATATTCCCTAGCATTGTCTGATTTGAACACCTTCACTTGTACCCCAAACCGTGTTAGCTCCATCTGATGAAATTGTCGAACCAAGGTTGGTACCTCATCACGATATCTCATTAAGTAAATCCAAAAATACCGAGAAAAAGCATCCATAAATAAAAGGAAATATTGATAGCCACCCATAGAAGGAACATGGTATGGTCCCTATACATCAAAATGAATAACATCAAAAGCAGATGAACATCTTTTATTACTAGATTTAAAGGAATGTCTACAATGTTTTCCAAGCTGACAACCTTCACACTCTAGACTAGACAAATTAACAGACTCAAATAGCTTTGGAAATAAGAAACACAAAGAAGAAAAAGATAAATGACCCAAACGATTATGCCAAAGCATAATCTGACTCACAGACTCTTACTCAATATCCTTGCTAACATGATAACCTTGATGATGAGGAAGCGCATCCAGGAGGTAGATTTCATTCACTTCACGACCACTCCCAATCGTCCTCTTTGAATCCAGATCCTACAAAACACAATGACCAGGAGAAAAAAATCATTGAGCAATTCAAGTTCTTAGTTAAACTATTAACATATAATAAGTTAGTACTCAATCTGGAAAAATGAAGGACAGAGAATAGGGAAATGGAATTAGTAATCTTGACAAACCCCTTCCTAGCAATGGGAACATGAGATTCATTGGCTGTAGAGACTCTATCTCTACCAAAACAGAGTTGGTAGGAAGAAAAAATAGTGGAACTACGGGTCATGTGCTCTGAGGCTCCAGAATTTATAATCCAAGGAGGTCCCTCCTTACTTGTAGTAGAAATATAGTTTGCAGTGGCATGTGAACTACCTATATGAGCAAAGGAAGTAGAGTGTGCTCCACCAAAACCACCTATACCTAGTTGTCCACTTGTTACTGGATTAGGGCTGACTGTATCTCATTGATTTAGGAACTGCCCATATCTCTCAAGTTTGTCCCTCACTGTAGTAGCTGCAATAGACTCCAAAGTAGTTGTAGTAGGAGTGCTAGGTATGTCACCAGTGACTGCCATGTGAGCATTTCCCTTCTTGTTTTTAAGTCTATTCGATACAAGATGAGGATAAAGCTTCTAGCAGGTATCTCTTGCGTGTTTAGGCTTCTTATAGTAATCACAAATCAAATCCTTCTTATCTTCCTTCCCGATTTAACTGCCACCCTAGTCTCCACCCTGTTTAGGTTTCACAGTACTGACCAAGGCTGATTGTTCAAAACCATAATTCTTCATCATCACATTTCTCCTACTCTCTTCCCCTGGTACAAAGGCAAGTACATGAGAAAGAGTAACATTGCCCGTGGAAAGGATATGTTGTCCTGCAATATCATATTCAGGATTAAAACCAACAAGAAATTTAAATACCCTATACTTCTCTAAGAGATTCCGGTAGGCAGCTACATCCTTAGTGGTTTTCCCAAATAACTGTCTCCAGATGGTCAATCTCCTGCCATAGGGTTTTAAGGGATAAAAAATAAACAGCAATAGGTCTATCTACCTGCGTTGTAGCAATAATCTGATTCCTTAACTAATAGGTCCTAGCAACATTTTCACTCTATGAGTAGGTTTCTGCAACCCCATCCCATATTTCCTTAGTTGCATTTTCCCACAAAAAAATTTTACTTATATGGGACAACATCGAATTATACAGCCAAGTCATTACCATAAAATTTTCCTGTACCCACTAGGAGCTATTAGTCTCGGGTTTCACTTCTTCACTAGTGATATACCCCAACTTCCCACGAGCACCAATGGCCATCTTTGTAGATTGTGACCATTCTAAGTAGTTTGAACCATCTAACTTAGCTATAGTGATGGTCCCAGCCCCGAAAAGGTCTCTGATACCTCCTCCTACTAGTCCATTTCACTCCCGGGTTTGTTTTCAACTTCGTTACCCTCCATAATTCTCAAAAAAGGATTAGAATGTCACTGTAAGATAAAAGAATATGAAGTAAATCCCTTCAGGTACCACAGACACCCTTCTGGTACCCCAAATGATCCTCCCACAAAAAATTCTCTTTTTGTAAAATGGGAGAAGAGAGAGAAGAGGCAACCGCTCTCTCCAAAGACCTTCGAAAAAGGTAGGACTTGAACTGCCCTCTTTAGAAAACTCCAAGAAACCCTAAAAAATCAGGGCACCACTTCCTAGGTCAAAATTGAAGAATCCAACAAAAATAGGACTCTCCTCCTTTCTCTAGTTCTTCTTGAATTTGATGGAAAACCCTAAACCAACTATAGGACAAAATAGATCCACCAAAAAATCCAAAAACTGGTCTTACCTAAGATCTTCGACCAGCCTCTCAAATCACCATGCAGTCGGCCGATCTAGGGCTGCATGATAGAGTAGCTCAAGGAACCTTCGGCCTGCTCTGATACCAAGTAAAAGTTGTTGATGATAGTTTTAGATGAATTCCTTATGAAGAAAAGTAGAAGAAGTTGAAAGGTTTCAGCAGTAGAGAAGAAGAGAGGTGAAGAGAAGAGAGTGGGATGTTGCCCATAATAGAATAGTTCTGGCCGTTAAACCCTCTTTGAATTAATTATATACTTAAATTAAAATAATGAGATATTACAAGAATGCCTTTAGTAGGGTGGCTACTTAAGTAGCTGAACAGTCACAAATTAAAAAACATAAACTAATGGGCCTAAAGGCCAATAATTTCCTAACTTAACAACTTAAAATTAAAAGATAAATAACTGGCCCAATAACTTGAAATTGGCTCAACTCAACAATTATTTAAATTATATTTGAAACTGTAAGTAATATAATTACATTTTAAACTTTAATTAAAAGTAATTATATTTAAATTATTTATTTAGTATAATTCAAGCTATAAATCATGGTTTTTAAAATCGACTCAGAGATCGAACCGGTCAGGGGTCCAGTTACCGGGTCGAACGATCAGCCCGTTCTAACAAAAAAATTAAAAAATGAAAACCGGTCAAAACCGTTCAAACGGTTCGAACAATTAACCGCCGGGTCAGCAATTTGTTGACCAAAATCAACGGTTTTAAAGGAAAACCCGGTTTTGGGGATAACCGGAATCGATCACTTGACCAGTTCCCGGTTTTTCCGGTCCGACCATCTAGTCCGGTCCGGTTTTGAAAACCATGCTATAAATAGCAGAAAATTACATTTAATGAATAGAAATTAGCCAAGAAGACAACCAAAAATAAAGTACCAATTATTTTGTCATAATTACCAAAAATTATCCAAGAAATTACCAAAAATGGATTAATATGATTTCCAATAAATATGATAAATTACCAAAAATTAAAAAATATAACCATTAAAATTACTTTTTGAAAATATGTACTAATTATCAATAATCTTCAAGAAGTAAATGTAATTAGTTCATATGTATTTAAAATGCATTTGTTTTTCATATAAATTATGAATTATATAATTTAAACATTATAATCATTGCCTATGATGATATTAATTCATTGTGTTAGAATGAAAAATAGAAAAAAAATGTATTTAGTATTTCCATTATTTCACTTTCACTCAACAAAGCCCGTACATTACACGGGTAACTGCTAGTAATATTTAAAGAACGTCCAACTCTTGAAAATAAAATCAGAAAACAAAGAAGAACCACTAATCATTGTGAAAATAGTGAAAATGCATTAACTAGCTATAGGAGCCTGTTCTCATGCATGAGAAATTGCACACACCTTATTAGTAATTTTGATCTGTGTGGAATCAATCTTTTTTATTTACGTGGCATCCAAGCATGTTGGTCGGTTGTTTCTTCTTATTAATTTTTATCTCCACTGAGCTTATATATGCCAATTGACCAAATAGATTGAAAACCAGAGGAAATGGGTGAATTTCTTTGTCAAGAGTTGAAAGGTTAGCCTCATGTAGTTGTTTAACTAAGAGAAAATAGTAGAATTTACACAGTAGTAGATAGTTCTCGACGGGAAAATTCCGATTGCTCAGCCAAGCCACCATTTTCGGTTGCAACATCGGCGGAGAAATCCTCGAATACAATACAACTTCCTGTCCAATTATGACCTCTTGCGAGATGTTCCTTCACAATCTCTGGTAATCTCAATGAAAACCTATCGTCCACCTCTTCAATATGTATGATTGAATGCCCCGTCGAGTGACACCTTGAGAACTTCTCAATCATCGTTTCATGGCCATCAATTTTTTGGCTCATTCTAGAACTTGCATCGTCATGGCTTTGTCCTCTCTCCTCTTGCTCTCCCTCCCTATCTACCATTGAATCAACATCCTGTTGTTGCTCCATTTCAGCTAATGCCGTTGAGGTGATGTCCGGTGATTTTTCCGGTGACTTATGGGAGGGATCAAGATTCACACGGCAGACCGGGCAGGTGGTGTGGTTCCCAAGCCAGAGGTCGATGCACTCTGGATGAAAAACATGATTGCATTCCGTCAAGAGTCGAAGGGTGTCATCATCTTCGAACTCCGATAAGCAGACGGCACATTCTAATCCATACTTATCCTGTTGAAGATCTTTCACAGTTGAGTAGACAAAGGTGGGAAACGAAGAGATTATCGAAGGGTCAAGGCCGTGATTGGTCTCAGATGCCTGTGGAACAGCATTGCCTGATGGGTTACGGCCGAGAGACGACCTCGTACTGGCTATGTGTTCCATGAAGCACTTGCAGAGGTATATGGAGAAGAACCCGACGAAGAAGAAAATTAGGAGGACAATGGCGAGAGTAAGTGTTACTGATGACGGATTATAAGCTTCAGGTGTGCGTTGATTGATGGAGATGTTCGTCGACATTGCCTGAATCAAATCCCAGACGGTTGGTTGGCCGGATATAAGCTATCCTGGCCTGGAGGAGCTCTGCATGGACGACGAGGGAGACAGCAGAATATGTGAATTGTGAAGAAGAAGAAGAATTGAGGAACTAAGTTCTCTTGCATAACAGACCTTGTGCTCGTCTGAAATCTTCCTTTTGTTTGCTTCCTCCTTTCTTTTGTGAGGTTGGTTTCTCCTGTGCGGTGGCGACCAAAGTCACAAGTCATTGAGCGAGTCACTAGTGGAAAAAATAGGAAAGAAGATTGGCCCTTGGATTTTGTTGATCTAGTGATGGTACCCCATGTGAGAAAGAGCTTGGTTATCATCAGATTGGGATCTACCTCAATACCCCACCCACCCACCTTGCATAATTGCATTTAGCTGATTAGCATGGATCTCTCTGAAACCCATCACACGATTAATATGATGCTTTTGAATCAGAGAAAAGACGGAAAATTTGTGGGTCTTCGGTTACGTTGCTTTTTCCCATACAGAAACAACTTTGTGATGTTTGACGTGGCTTCTTTATTTGCCACGTGCACTACACACTGGAGTTAAATATACTCTTTTGCCAAGTATTTTAAATGGGTAATCAATTCTGCCCTTGCTTCATTTTGGCAAGGACCTGAGTTTTGATTCAAAAAAGTAAAAATATAGTAAAATGAACATATGCATAATCAGTTATACTGATAGTAAGGCTGTAAATGTCCAAACTATATGGGGTAAGCTATAACCCATACATTCAGTGTCATATACTCGTATATCCATCGCTGGATTATTAGGAGTGTTTAAATCAATTTTCGAATTAAGAATATTCTAACATAAGCACCAGACCAACCATGATCTATGAATATGAATATTTGGCAAAGTTTTAGTATCTCCTGCTCACACCAGCGCGGTTTTAGTGTCATACCTTTTAATAACTTTAGGGAAAATCTATGGTACAAGTTAATTTTTATGGTTCGTCTTACCATAATATCAAAAGCTTTCAAAAAAATTATAATATTAAACTATTTTTTTTTCATTTTTTAATTACCACTAGCATTCTGTCACAATGTGATCCTTTTTGACTTATAGATTATTTTAAATCTCAGTTTTATCCTTTTGTTGTTGAAAATGCCCTTGAACTTTGAAGATAAAAAAACCCATGATAAGAAACCAAAAATCAAATTTGGAAGATAAACAGGTGTTGCAGTTTCTAATTTCAATTTACTTGATGATGAACAAAGCGACAGCCCATAAACAACAAACCTTTTTAGGCCGTATTTGACATTCCTTATTTTAAGGAGTTGTCTCGTTTGTTCAGTAAAAAAGTGTTCATGGGGGTATTTTAAGGAGTCGGATCCCATTCGAGCAGTCTTTACTACTTTGCATTGAGAAGATATTCCCAATGCAATGTAGCAAAAGACTATTGAAACGGTGTGGGCACAGGTTTGCCCTGATGGAAGCTTATCTTGTATTTTAACGACAAAAAGCAGATAAATCCTTAAAATAAGAAATCCCAAATGCAGCCATAAAAGAATATATAACAAACGGAGGCTTTTTGGGTTACATTCAAGAAGGAAATGCAGGGGTTTCGTCAGTATGGCTCCATTCCCAAGGAGTACAAATATAAATATGTATTGTGCAAATACATATAAAATAAAATAAAATATAAGGTTTTGTGCTCTACATATTTGTATTTGTATTATTTCCAAACTGAGCCTATAGAAATGCAAATTATGTACAGTGTAAAGCTTTGTATTTTGTATTTCTAAACCTTATTTGCAATGTACATATTTATATTTATACTCATTTCAAATTGAGCCTTAGTATTTTATATTTCTGAACCTATATTTACTATGCATATTTGTATTTGTTACAATTAATAATATAAAAATTATAACAAATAAATTATATTTGTACAAAATGCCTACACATCATTTGTAAAAAAAAATAAATAAATAACATCCATTCCCTTAATACAAATAAATTGCATTTAGATTGAATCTTACATAGCATCAATTAATTAAACAAAAAAATTACATACACTATAACTTGTCTAAAGTCCCTATTAGAAATAATACTGGGAAGAGAGAGAGAGAGAGAGAGATCATCAAATGGATTTGTAAACACAAATTTTGTGTAAAATTTGGAGCACAAAATTAATGCGGACAAATTCAAAGATTTTTTTTTTCTTTTTTTTTTTTGCAGAAATATAAGTGGGATACAAACTCTCTTTTTCTTGGTAAAGTAAACCCCCTGATTCTCTTGTCTTTGACGAAGGCCGAAACCGTGACTAGAACTTGCAATTATGAGAAGCAAGTAACGCCCAACCTTGTGTTAACGAAGATTTACTCAAGCTCAATCAATGATTTAAATGTGAGCAGCTGAAAGCAACGTCCTCACTTGTAGAATTGACGGAAGTCTTTTGGATCACAGGAATTTGAAGATAAGAACTTCACGGGTTGATGCTGTAGCAATTTCAGTGCCTCAACAATTGAAGAGTTTGAGCCTTTCTTCTTTCTTCCTTGATCTTAGTGCAACCCGTTTCCATCTGAACAAGAAGAACCCCCCCCCCCCCC